TGAAAGATATCCCAGAGTTACAGGGACCCACCAGGCCAGGCCTGAATGCAAGTGAAATGTTTCTGTGCTTGATCAACAAAGAGATAACAGGAGACTAGGAATGCTAAGTACTGCTATTGCTCCAGACCATGGAGCATGGTGGGTTCACGGAGGCATTAAGGATTCACTTTCTTCCTTTGCATCCTCATAAGTCAGCAATTTCAACTATTTTGTGGACCTTGAAAACAGAAAGCTGCTGCTTCAGTGTTCTGTTCACTAGATTTAGTTGATCTAAATCACCTGGGGCCAAATATTTTCCTTTGAGGCTACGTTGGTCCCCGATTCTTCTCCCTGCCTGGGAGTTGTTGTTTGTTTTCTCTAATTTCAACCATTCGGAAACTGGTTGGCTGTTCTATCTGGAATTGTCAATTATTTTGGACCAGTTCAGAAAGGCAGACAATGCATCACAGGGCAAGATGGAACTGCGGTTGGAAAGAACCAAATTTTCCAGCTTCTTGGAGGATCAGCAAACACTGGACACTCCCGGTTTTCTTAAAAAATATTCCTTTCCATGCCCGTTGCAAAATGGACATGCTTGATGCTCAGAAGGTTCATAGTCAGGTGTGTTATGAGTTAGGAGATGCTCCATGTTGCTTGCTGTCTTAGAATTTGGGTTGGGATTTATGAAGATTTAGGGAACGGTTACAGTGGCACAGCCCTAGAGACCTCCCCAAGCTTCCCATTTTCTCTGGTGAGCAACTTCCTTCCTCCCTCTTCCTGGAATCAGTCTGGTTTAGGGTGAACTACTGTTTGTGCACTGTCTTTCCACCTGGCAAAGTCCTCCGGTGACATTGTTATTGGTCTGATGCTGATAGGGCTGCTCGTTTTGATTATCCGGGCATCTGGCAAACAAGTAATTTAATTTTGTATTTATTTATTCATCAAAACCTCTTTGCAGAAGAGATTTAAACTGGCTCATAAAAATGCATGACATGCAGCTCGATAAAATAAATTAAATATGAGGACTGAGATTTGGGCAAAGGGAAAATACAGGTAGGAGATGATAATGAGGAGCCAGGAGCGAGGTTGGTCCATGAGACTTTTGTCTTCTTACCACTTAAACCTGTGCTTGAGGTGGTGGTGCCTTGGTGGCAGCACAGTCCTCATTAGGGTTCCATCCTGACGGTAGCCCCGAGCTTCTCTTCCATCCTCCCATCCCTGAAGATAAGACGTGACAAATAGAGTTGATGCCACAAAAAGGGAGAACAGAGTTTCCAAGTCAGAATTGAGTTCCAAGTATTTAACTTATGCTACTTTTCTCCTTGCCCCAAAGTAGAGGGTAATGCTTGTAAAGCTGCTGTAGTTCTGGCTCACTGCTTGTTGACTCATGAGGGCCATACTTGGGGAGCAAAGCTTGGAATCCGGTAGATGTGGTTCAAATTCCAACTCATTATGTAATCCCTGCAAATCTCTTTCCCCCAGTTTATAAATTGGGATGTAACCATCTATCTGGTGAGAAGAAAATATGCTTTGTGTAAAACACCTTGCATCTAATGCAAAAAGAGTGTCATCAATGTCCTTCTTTGTTATTACTAATACACGCTCTTTCCGTCTCTCTTGGACTTGTAAGAGGAGATGAGAGATCATTACACTGCAGAACAGAATGTAGCAGTGGGGGTCCATTAGTCTAGGCTTCTGGCATAAGGGCAGAGACCCAGAGATGGAAGAGCTGTTTAAGTTTACACAGTGCATCAGTGGCAGCCACTAGACTTGAATCCAGGTCCCCAGACACTGTTTCCAGCCTTCCTACTGTTTACTCCCTCTGTTCATCATACTCAATCGCCCCTCCTCCATCAGGACACCCCCTGCCAAAGAAAACAGCTCCCCTCCCCCGCAGAGATCTAGGTCTGTCTTTTAGTGATGGAGTGAAGTGTGTGTCCTGACTCGTAACTCCCCTGCTAGGGCTGCCTGAAGCTGGGCCATGCATCTTACTTCCCAGGGTCAACGTGCTGAGTCATGGTGTGGGGGAGCAGAACATACAGTGAGCCTGGAATCCTAAGTCCTGGTGCCATTTATAAGCTGTGGGGGAAGTTGGTTCAGCTTCTTTGAGCCTCATTTTACTCAGCAATAAGGTGAGGATTAGTTCAATTTCTGAACAGCCTAGTGGTTGCAAAACCACTTTTGTAACAATGACGTGTATTGCCTGACTGTTCATGCTGTACTAGGCATGGAGCATGGGTTTCCATGAAAATAAAAGATGGTTACCAGATGGTTTTACTCATTTGCAGAACATAAATAACCAAAGAAAACAAATGGGCAAAGCACAACAAAAAATAATCCTTGGACGCTGTGACGCATACGCTGGTTACCTGTGGGCATGGGGGGAGGGCGGAGGGGTGATGAGAGAGAAGGGGACAGGGCATGTGTCCTGAGCTTGGTGGAGGGTCTGAAGCACTGAGCCCACAGAGGGGAGAAGCACTCCTCTCAAAATTGTGTCGTCGCGCAAATGGCCAATCAACAAAATCATAAGAAAACAGAGCCGTTTCCACCCACACAATAAAATATCGCTTGAAAGTGACATCAGAAAAGACTTCTCTTACCTCTGCCAGGTGACTCTGCTCTTACTGTTATTATGTAGATGTGGAGACTGACACGCTAGAGGTCAACTACTTGGCTAAGGTCACACAAGTAGGAATTTGTTGTCTGCGTTTGGAACAAGCTGAGTGTCTGTTCAGGATCCATTTTCTTAGTGGTTCTGTGGTGTGGTGGGGTTCCTGCTTGGCCTTCCCACTGCGTGGCCTTGTACCACACGGTCTCCAGTGTCCATCTAAGGGGCTTCTCTCTCCACCAGGAGTGGCTTCGAAAGTGCTCGTGAGAGCTCCATGTATTTTGACTGGGAGCGAGTGGTCCACTGGTGAAGATGTGTGTCCTCATTTTCTCTTCTCTGTGCAAAAATGATGAGTGCAAGTAAGTGTGAATGCAACAGGGTGGTCCCCAGGAAAGGGGGAGGTTCCCTGCCCCAACCAAGGGAGAGTGGAGCTGAACAGGGAGAGGAGAAGCTGCAGAAGAGACTGAGGAAGGAAGCAGGATGGAGCAAGGAGACCTGGAGGAGGTGCATGGAGCCTAGAGACACGTGAAGAAACTGCGCTTGTCTTTTGGTCGTGGACTAGGTGACACAGATGTGGGTGAGACCCGTGGGGAGGTGACAATGGCAGCTTTTATCTTCACCCCTAACATTTCTGCTCAGATGCCACTTTTTCAAAGTACCTTTTCCAATAGCCCTATTTGAATATTCTCTCCTTGCTTCAGCCTTCCAGTTCTCCACATCCTGCTGAGTGTTTTTTTTAAATAGTGTTTATCATCTTCTATCATGGTAGAAAATATACTTTAAAAGCCATATACATAATAAGCCTGGCTCTGCTAGAATGACTGCTTCATAACAGCAAAGATCCTTGTTTTTTTCCAAGCAACGAGAAGAGTGCCTGGCACACGTAAGTTCTCAGTAGATTCTTATTGAATAAATAAGTGAATAGAGTCTTTCTTGTCATTTTCCCCCTCTTTGATCAGGATGATGTGTATGAATTCCTTTTAGAACACAGCAAGTCATTGTTTTGGTCAAAGGTCCTGATTAGATTAGCCTCTACAGGAAAAAAGGCCCTAAATATTTACATTATGAGGAATTCGGTGGTGGGGGCAGGGGAGCCAGATGCTGACCTTTATTTTAGTGAATCAGCCTTTGCCCGAACGTTGATGAAAGTTTTGTTTTCTTATTCATCTGCAATCCTATCAGATCATCCTCAAATTAGGTTTTTGTTTCAAGGATGGAAGGAGGTCAAGAAGATTCACCTTTGAAGTCCACGTTCAGTATTTCCATTACCCCAAATTAGCAGCCCAAGATACAGAGACAAGATTGTCCAAACCCCTGGCAAGAATTCCATCTGTATTAAAGTTCTAAACTGGGTGTGGAGAACAACTTTGCCCCTTGAAGAGCTGTACAAGCTAATTCTGAAATGGTTTGATTCAAGTATCTCAAGGACTGATAATGATCTGGCTCTTAAAAAAATGGGACGGGTTCTTTGGAATTAGAGGAGTGCTTGGAAACCAGGCCAGGCTGCTTGGCAGGAACAGAAAGGAAGAAGAAACTTGGCAGACAACAGGTTACAGAGGTTCTAATGGGGCTTGCTCTTCACGGCTCACTGTCTTGCATCCAAATACATCAAACATAACTGCAAAGAAAGATAGAGTTGATATTGGGACTCCAGGAGGCCATGGGCTCAGAGATAAGATTCCAGCATGTCCATGAACCAAAGAGCACATTGCTCACAGTATTGTAGAATCGAGAAACAATAATTCTAAGAGTGTGAGTCAGACCTTGTACTAGCGTGTCAGTTATGTCCTTCACACGAATATTGTGTCTTTGGTGTTGAAATCCCGAGGTCGAGAAAAGTGAATTAACTTGCCCCAAGTCTCTACAGGTTGAACTAGGTCTGATGTCAACACCCATGTCCTAACACTATACCACTAGGGTTTTTCCAACAGTGATGTTCTCTGGCTCTGCAGAGCTGATGAAAATTTCCAAAGGGGAAATCTGTCTCAAGTTTTTAAATGCCCCAGGAACTGAGTTCTAGTGCTAGAGTTGTCTCTCTACTGTGGAATCTTGAACTAGTCATTTAAGTGCTTTAGCCCTCACCTTCTCTCCAAGATGAGATGAACAATTTGCCCTTCCAAAGATTTTGGAAAGATCAAATGAAATCAAGCTTATATAAAACAATGTAAAGTCCATGACTTACAGAAAGGAGATGGAAGAGTTTCATCCAATGTGCACCACAGAATCGACCATGGCCCCAGCATAGGCCCCAGCCGCTGGCCACAGGCAGGTCTGGATGTCATGGTGATGGCACAGAGGAGGGGGTTACACACAGCCACGGAAGATCATAAGCCAAACAAGTTGTACTCACCTTAATTTATCTCTGGGCTGACTTCTTTTTTTTTCCTAAATTTCAGTGGACAGCCCAGGATCCATGGCAGAGAATGGCACAGCAGTGACAGATTTCATTCTCATGGGCTTCCAGCTGCAGGCAGAGTTGCAGATGGGTCTCTTCTTTGTGTTTCTGGTCCTTTATCTTATCACCATGGGGGGCAACATGGGCATGATAGTGCTGATTCAGAGTGACACTCGCCTTCAGACCCCCATGTACTTCTTCCTCAGCCACCTCTCCTTCCTGGACGTCTGTTACTCCTCTGTTATTGTGCCCCAGTTGCTTGAGACCTTAGGTACTGACAAGATGGTCATCACCTATGAGCGCTGTGCCAGCCAGTTCTTCTTTTTCACACTCTGTGCTAGCACCGAGTGCTTCCTGCTGGCCGTGATGGCTTATGATCGATACGTGGCTGTGTGCAATCCCCTGCTCTACGCCACCTCCATGACACCCCAGACCCGCCTGCAGCTGGTGGCCTGGGCCTATGCTGGGGCCACAGTCAACTCTGTGGTCCGCACTGGGTGCACCTTCTCCATCTCCTTCTGCAAGTCCAACCTCGTGGACTTTTTCTTTTGTGACCTCCCACCCCTGCTGAAGCTTGCCTGTGGTGAGACCAGGCCACGGGAGCAGGTGATCTACCTCTTTGCTTTGTGGGTCATTACGACCAGCATTTCAGTGATTCTCACATCCTACTTGTTCATCATTCGGGCCATTCTGAAGATTCGTACAGCAGGAGGCAAAGCCAAGACTTTCTCCACCTGTGCTTCTCACATGACTGCGGTGGCTATTTTCTTTGGGACACTCATATTCATGTACCTGAAAGGTAACATGGGCAAATCTCTCAAGGAGGACAAGGTGGTGTCAATATTTTACACTGTGATCATCCCCATGCTGAACCCGATGATTTATAGCCTGAGAAACAAGGAGGTGAAGGAGGCTCTGAAGAAAGCCCTCAACAGGATGAGGGTTTCCCACGGGGGCTAAGTCTTGGACTCTATCAATTCAGAAGCTTCTGTGAGTTATCCTTCGGGCTCTTGACTTGCCCTCTTAACCCATGAACCAGATCTCATAATCAAAGACAAGTTGAAAGAAACATGTAGATTTGGGTTCCAGCAAGTTCTTTATTAGCTCTATGATTTTGAGACTGTGATTCTCTGCCTTTGTCTTCCATCAGTAAAAATTTCTTGTTCTGATGAAAGCCAGGATGATGAGCAATGGAATGCCAAAGGGCCTTTTGAATAATGACTTGTTATAAAATGTAATTGAGTATGGTTGAGTGTTTCTTGGGTATGGTTGAGTGTTTATTGGCTTCCTGAAATTTCTACTAAGCTAATTTTTACATCTTGAATAACTAGCAAACAATGGATTATTGTTTACCTGTTAAGGATAGTCATTCTTTAGTTGTAGGTGATGAAGTCAAAAGCAGCCTTGACCGTAGATAACTTTTGGCATTTAATCATAGTGAAGGCAGGCATTTGCCATGGAAAAGACAAGGAACTAGCCGGAGGAAGAAAACAATCAAGGGAAAGGAGATGTGAGGGGGTTCTGTTCAACTAGAATATGCTGACCTCCTTCCCCAAATGGTATAGAGGACCAGACTCTGCAGATGGCAAGGAAGATGTAATGATTTACATTAATTATGGAAGCAATTTGATCTTAATGTGAAACTGAACTGAGTTTCATATATAGTTTTTAAAATATCAATATTTCTTTGTTTTACCTTTTCAGTTCTTTTAGAAAAAGTTGTATTATTTTTATTGTAGTAACATTGGTTTATAACATCGTCAATGATTTAGGGGTGAGCTATTTCTTGATTACCAAAGGTCAGAAGCTCTGTTTTATTTCTGAAGCATTGTTCATGGATCATCTGTCTCGATTAACTTGAGCTATTTTCTATTCTCCAGTAATGAAAACAACATCTCCTGCCATCTCCAGCAGGACATTTACTTTATTGTCAGAAGACAAATAACAATGAATCTGACACCTTTATTGACCTCCACATCTGCTAGGGAAATTACATGGGAATATTCCCATGGAGAGTTCACAATCTTTTTCATCAATTCAGCAAATATTTACTGACTATACCATGGATCAGACATAGCACTAGTTCAGGAATATAGTAACTAAGATAGGCATGGGTCCTTCTTCATGGACACTACTAGAACCTGAGGCATAGACAGATATTAAACCCTTGCAGTTAATTGATTTTTAATATGATTCTGGACCAAGAGAAGCAGCACAGGATATTGCGATGCTGTATAATAGGGCTCTGACCTAGTTTGCTGTGGTCAGAGAACGTTTCCCCGTGGAACTGACATTTAAGCTGAGGCCTGAAGTATAAGCACATCATGGTTATGGGGTGGGGAGACTCTTCCAGATAGAAAGGGTTGGCAAATGCACGGGCATCAGGAGCTGAGAGGAGCCAGAATGGCCACTTCATAATGAGTGAGAAGATTGAGCTGGCAAATTCAGGAGAAACTAGGTCACAAGAGCCACCCAGGCTCACTTAAGATCTGTGGACTCGAGTCTAGGAGTCAAGGCATGAAATGTTCATGCCTGAATTTTAACAAGATCTCTTTGGCTGCAGTACTATGGGTAGAAAGGGGTCCTGTGGTGATGGAGAGGGAGGGAAATATATCTATTTTACCTAAAAACCTCACATGGTGCCTTGCAGGCTATGGCATTTGCTTTCCATGCAATGCTGTAGGCTTCCTTCTAGATTGCAGGTGAGGCCAGAGGAAGCTGGCGGGTGCATGGGTGTGATAGGGGTCTAAGACTTGTTGTTGGCAAAATGGTGAAATTGGGGACATCTATTTTTGGAGGCATTTGCTTTTTCATAGGTAAGCCTTTCCTTCCCTGAATTGCAACCTCTACCAGGGGTCTATCCTGCGTCCCTTCATCAAAATGGTGATCAGCTACTGCCTCTTAAGAGACCAACATAATTTCATCATATCTCTGTATCAGGCTGTGTACGTGGGCTGCAGAAATAATCTCTTGCAGGGCTTCTTGTATCAGGCAGGAGAAACCTCCAATGGAAGAACAAAATCAAGAGGCAGAGCGCTGGACAGTGGAGATGTGGTGTCTGCGTGGCGGGTGCTGCCTCCTGCTCCCCTGCTGTCTGATTGTTTAGTGGCCACTGGCTCTGCCGATGAACCTTTGATACATGCACAGTATTTGACAAGTGTGCTATTACTTTAGGGATGCAGGATATGGATAAAAATAAAGTGAAGTTTCAGTGTGTTTTTGGGACCACCTTCTGATGAATGTAAGAAGGGGTGGGAAAATGGCATGTAGATTGAATTTACAATTGCAAATGTCAATAAATGAATGGAAACATTTATAAATGATCTGATATGTGTCAGGCTCTGGGCCAGGAGTTCTCGATCTCATTCACAGATCTCATTCTTAAAATAGACTCTACAGATAGTCTGCTAGAAAATCGAGTCCTATGATGCTTGGTTTTCTGCACCAACTTGGTGGGGTGACAGGATGCCCGGGTATTTGACTCAACATTTCTGGGTGTGTCTGTGAGACTGGCATTTGAGTTGGTGGGCTCAGTAACACTGGTGGGTCCTCCCGGTATGGGTGGGTTTCATCTCATTGATTGAAGCTGGAGTAGAACAAAAGACAGAGGAAGGGAGAATTCAGCCCTTTTTCTCTGCTTGAGCTTGAACCGCTGTCTTCTGCACTTGGACTGGGCTGGGATTTACACCCTCTCTTCCCTGGTTCTCGGAACTGAACAGAACCATATCCCTGCTTTTCTGGGGCTCTGAATTGTGAGGCTTCTTCAGTCCTAAAAGCAATAGGGTGAGGCAGTTCCTGACAATGAATCTCCTTCTATGCTGCAAACATCCATCACATTCAAAATTTCCTACCACCTCTTTATTTATTATTATTATTTTGTGATATAATATTTAAGATAAGAGCATCCTCTTAGCAAAGTTTTAAGTATACAGTATAGATTGTAGCAATGGTCTCATGGGTATGGACTCATCTCCAAACTCATCAAGTTGTGTACATTAAATATGTACATTTTTAATGTTGATCATTCCTCAATAAAGTGGTTTAAGAAAAATATGCATATATGTATATGCTGAGTTGGAGAACCCTGAGTAATAAGATCCCTGGTAATAGAACAGTCTTTTTCTTTTTATTCCCTTCAACGTCTCTGTGTATCCTGGTGAGAACTGAGTTTTAGAATTATACATTTTCATCTGTACTACTTGGCCTCAATCTACCAAAAATGATATAGGAAAGATGAAGAAAGCAAACCTCCAGGCTCTGAGCCGGCCCAAAGGGCAGTGTTCTCATCATTTAGAACACCACCACCAAGTGATGTCCCCAGAATGGTCGTATAGGGGACACCCCCATGTATCCCCCACCAAGATCAACACTTAGGCAGCTCTCCAGGAACAAAAACAGCCTGGGAACCCTCAAGTGTCCACTTAAGAAACTGCAGCAACCTAGTGGACCACAAACCTGAGAATAACCCCAGGAAAGGGGAGGAAGAACAGCTTCATATCTGCTCTGTGCCAGGGGGAATCTCCCCACCTAGAAAGCCTTCTCCCCCCTGAGAAAGGGAGAGCAGAGTGAGCGGCCGGTCCAAGCTGAGACATTGCTATGACCAGCAACAGAGAAGGGCCTGGACCAGCAGCGCCAGCCCCACGGAGTGGTAACCGAGGTTCTCAGTGACCTGCTTTGCAGAAGATTCCAGCTGCTTCCATCACCGTAGCACAGCAGCCTTGGATCCCTTGGGGATTTCATTGCTTCACCCTACAGGTTCTCAGGTTCACAGATGCCAGCCCCCGGAGTCCCTCCCATCTCTTTACTCTTCTCCTCCCCTCCCTGCCCCCACTCCCCAGCCAGAGCCTGGGGTCTGAACCAGCAGCCAGTTCAGGCCTCTGCAGCTGCCTGAGTGCAAACTTCCAGCCTAGACCCACACCGCTGACCTCAGGTGCAGGTCCCTCTAGCCGCTCACTTGCGCACCCCAGCTGCTGTGTCTACCAGAGCTGGGACCTGCTGATACATGTGACACCTGGGACCCCCACAGCAGCCTGTGGACCCGGATCTGACCGTGACTCCTGTGACCGGCTGTTGGGATGGCCCAGAGCTACCCCAAGCATGCATGTGCCCCCTCCTGACTCCGACCACTCGTCCCTCTCCCCCGCCCCACTTCTGTGCACATGCCTCTGGCGACACCCTCCAGCCACAAGAGTGCTTGCCCTCTGAGGGCCTTGGACCTCCAAAGCAAAAGGAAACAAAAGCAAAAAAAATCATCGATTGGGTCTATATACAACTGCAAAGCTTCTGTACTGCAAAATTAATTAAGAAATTGAAAAGGAAACTTGCAGAATGGGAGAAAATATTTGCAAACCATGCATCTGATAAGGGGTTAATATTCAAAAAATATAAAGAACTCATACAACTCAGTAGTAATAAAAAATCTAATTAAAATGGGCAGAGGATCTGAATAGACATTTTCTTAAAGAAAGTGGGCAACTGGTACATGAAAAGACACCCAACCTGACTAAGGGGAAGGAAAATGACAGTGAAACCACAAGGAGACAGCGCTTCACACTGGCCAGACCAGCTTTATCACAAAGATTTAAAAAAAAAAAAAAAGGCAGATAACAAATGCTGATGAGAATTGGGCAGAAGGGAATCCTGTGCACTGTTGGTGGGAAAGTAAATTGGCTTAGGGATCATGAACAACAGCATAGAGGTGCTCAAAAAATTAAAAATAGAACCTGTCATCCCACTCCTGGGTCTAAATTCAAAGGAAATGAAATCAGTATGTTGAAGAGATATCCCATGTTCATTGCAGGTTTATCTATTATAGGCAAGACATGGAGGGGCCTCCCTGGGGGCCTAGGGGTTAAGTCTCAATGCTACTACCACAAAGGCCCACCTCAATGGCCTGAATTCAATCCCTGGCCAGGGAGCTGACCCATATGGCACAGCAGACCTCTCCTTTCTCACCCAGG